TTTAGGGTTTAGGGGGTGCAGGGTTTAGGGTTTAGGGTTTAGGGTTTAGGGTTCAGGGTTTAGGGTTTAGGGTTTAGGGTTTAGGGTTTAGGGGGTTCAGGGTTTAGGGTTTCAAAACAAAACGCACAAGAGCCATAGAATAATCGTGCTTAGTATTCAGGCTTGGTGTCCAGGGCTTTGGGTTTACGACTTAGGCAGTGCCCGGTAAAGAAGCGTAAACTTTCAGAAGAGGTCTCAGGGCGTAGAGTTTGGAGTTTTGGACTCAGGAATGAGGGTATACCCATAGTAAATCATAGGCCCCATAGTAGTTCCTTTTTGGGATTACCTTATAGGATTCTAAATATGAACCCCAAAAAGGAACTACTAGGTAGGGTGCAAAGTAGGGTTTGGGGTTTAGGGCTTATACGGCTTTAGGATTGAGGGTTGAGCAAAGATTTAGTCCCAAGATATCTTACGGTCATACTGCCTTGCAGACATCCAACAGGTCTGAAAGTTCGGCATTGGAGAACTGAGCTGCCGTAAAAAGTCTCATTATACGCATCGTACGTCTCCAGAGTCCTCGGGTATCAGATTCATCGGCGACTCTTCGTGGACTTAGATTAGGGCCTTCGGAACTAGGGTTTCAGCTCCAGCGCATGAGACTCGGGTTTTAGTTAGGGCTTTGTAATTCATTGCAAGATCCTAGCTCGCCTTACCGGGTCCTGCCTGTCACTCAGCAACGAGAGGCTCAAACAACAGCCAGATAGGTACTAGTGAGAGGCCCAGTCTCCAAAGATGATCGGTGGTGCTGGTGACGTTGTCGCACTGATTCAGAAGGTAAGTCTCATTGCGCACCGGGACGGCAGAGCAAGTTAAGTTGGGGTTGTCGAAGAAAGAAATGGTAGCACTTGAGTTCCCCAAGATCTCTACCATGGCATGTTCCGCGCCCATATCCACACACGGACCCACTACAAGCGCGATGTGTGTCCGCTTTATCATCCCTGGGTTACAGTCGCTGGACGCATACCTGGTGGCGTCGAGAAGCGGCAGGTAAGTTTCTCCAACCGGAATACACCACTTAAAGGGTTTCGAACTTCGGCACTGATTATTATGTAAGGGTTTTCTGAGGTATACATCAAGCTCTAATCCCTACCTTAAGAACCCAAAACCACTTTTTTGTAGGTTCTTATTATAAACCCTAATATTGGATTTTATAGGGACCCTACAAAAAAATAGGTTGTGGGTTCTTAAGGTAAACCCTAAACCCTAAACCCCAAACACTTCTGCTAGCCAAGCTAAGAGACATGTTCTGAACGAGGAACTGCTCCGCCCTCGCGGAGGCGACCCAGAGAAGCGCGGCGTAGATAGGCGCGTTCATGGGGCTTGGGTTTAGGGTTTAGGGCTTAGGGTTTAGGGTTTAGGGTTTAGGGTGTAGGGTTTAGGGTTTAGGGTGTAGGGTTTAGGGTTTAGGGTTTAGTGTTTAGGGTTGGTCTACGCCGAACCTGGCCCTCATTTGCGGGCCCTACAACTTCTAGTTTTGAGGGCCGGAGGCCTTCGTGACTAAAGGTGGGGGAAGAGTCACGGAAATAGGGTTTCGGGTTTAGGGTTTAGGGTTTTCCGACTCCTCTCAACATACCCTGAACCTTCAAGAATGGACCCTGCAGCCAGCATGAAGCTCGGCGTGCCTTGAAGCCTCAGCAACTACAGACAAGGCGTGAGCCTAATAAACCAGAACCCCCGTTTTTAAGCGTCTTGCTGAAATCAACCCTAAACCCTGCAAGCCCTAAACCCTAAACCCTACAAGCCCAAAACCCCCATAAACCTCCAGCTGTGACACCTTGCCCGGCTCAACCACTTCGAGCCGGACAGCAGCAAACTCTCTCATGGCAGATCTGGCCGAACGTCCCGGGCTCTGGCATTGGGGGCTTACGGATTACGGCTTTGGGATTTAGGGTTTAGGGTTTAGGGTTGGACGCTTCGGCGTTCCAGAATTTTGCGGGATTGAAGGGGCCGGGGCGACAGGCTTCGGGGGGGTCCATTATAGGGGTTCAGGGCGATGGGGTTCGTAATGGAGGCCCCACTCCCCCTGAATACAAGGATGAGAATGGGAATCCAAATGTTATGGGCGGGTTTAGGGTTAGTTGATCAATTAGCAGTCTACACTAACCCTAACCCTAAACCCTAAAACCAAAAACCTCTAAACCCCTAAACCCCCAAAACCCTAAACCTCTAAACCCCTAAACCCTAAACCCCTAAACCCTAAACCCTAAACCCTGAACCCGAACTCCTCCTGCGCTGTGCCTCGGTCCAGGCGCGCTTGCGTCCCAGGGACTGGAGGAGTGCGTTCGTCGCCCGGAGGCCGGTGGGAGCATCTGCGAAGTTTAGGGTTTAGAGTTTAGGCTTTAGGGTTTAGGGTTTAGGGTTTAGAGTTTAGACTTTAGGGTTTAGGGTTTAGGG